TGAAAAATGGACGTGGAAGAACTGCAAGTGTTTCCAATATGGATTTCTTCCAACCACTTGCATTGGAACGGACCGATAAAATGACTTTGCCATCTGTGAGCTCTAGGAACTCTGGGTAGAGCAGGCAACAAGGATAGTCAGTTGTGGCCCTGTATCCTTGATCAATCACAGATTGTGCTGCCTGCAAGGCCAATGTCTTGTTCTTTACTCCAGTGTCCCTTTCAGTTCTTGCAAGCTCAAACCAAGGTTCCGGAGAAACATAACGACCCATTATTTCGCTCATGTGGAATCGACTGCGGTAGCCAAGAGTTGCTAACGCTGCCTGTAGGGAATGAGTCCCAGTGCGGCCAAGGCCAGCACCAACCACAAATGGTAGCTCTGGGGAGGCATCGGTTCTACTACTGGTGCCGCTGCTATTTCGATGCCAATTCGGATTGCTGCTTCGTTTGGAGTGCTTGGTAATGAGGGCATAGTCAGCCACAGTCCTCGCAATGCTGTCCATCCTGGCAGCAAGTCGCCGTTTTTCGGGAGGAAGATAGTTCGAAATTCCTGCCTCTTTCGGCAATAGCAACATCAACATCCACAGCGCAGAAGACGAAGAACAAGCTCCCTACTACAGCTGCGGTACTGCAATACTATTAATAGTAGACTACACCTACATGTACGTGGACGGACGAAGCTGTTGTCTTCTGTTTCCCCATGACCGACTCGACTCCGACAGACCGAGGTCATTGTTCTGCATACCGTACCGTACAGTATAAGCCAGCTAAACTATTTCAATACTAGGCAGATTACAAGTTTCGAGGCCTGTATCGCAGCATCGCAGCCAACACTGAGGGCGAATTGAATTACTAGTACCACCGCTATCTTGACTTGTGTCGATTCTGAATCATACTACGTATGCTATCGGCAGATCTGCAGGTTCTTTTGCGTGCCGGTAGGCTCAGTACATTTTCTACGGCAATTTTAGATTTACCTGTTTTGGGTCCAGTGTACAGACATGTGCTCTACATGTACTATTAATAGCTAGCTAGCTAGCTAGCTAGCTAGCTAGCTAGCTAGCTAGCTAGCTGGAGAACAGACCAATAAAATAGCTTGGTCCACCATTCTACTCCCCAGCCAAAATGAGGAAAGCCGCAAAAATGGGGAAAACCTCTGGATCACTTTGGAAACAAATAAGGAATTCCACCTGAATGTTCCTAGGAGCATGACTGAAAGATGATTTTGTGATCAAAAAGCCACCATCTGGTGGTTACCAGATCTCAGTCAATATCCAACCAATTGACCTAGTTGTTGAATGGTATTCGTCAGCAATGATGTTGTTTTGAATGACATTTTCTTACTTTGTTGAGATAGTGTAGTTGATAGTGTCATATTGGGTGTTTACTAGAAGGGGTCAATTTTGCACCAAATATTTCTAAATGCTAGGGTATAGATACTGCAATTTGCCTTAATGCCAAGGCGTAAAGGCTGACTGATCTTCTTGCTACTAGGTGATGTTAGGTTGCCTGTTTTCTTAAAACTAAGTAGTAAATGAGAACTTCCGCATTTGTGCTGTGGAGTATTTTAAAATAGCATCAACTTCTTTTTTTTAAATAATGACTCGACTCGACTCCAAGGGCAAGTCTGATTGGTACATTGGTACAGTCGTAACGATGTTAGTCCGGGAAGAATGCAGTTGGTCTACCGGTACGTGTACGTCGTGGTTCGATACTTGGATTGGTGAAGCACCGGGTGTGCTGGCAATACTCTGCAGCACCGTGTATGTAGACTATGTTCATACTACAAATTTGAGAAGAGTGTGTACACATACAGTACAACCTCATTAAAAACTTTAAAAGAAGTAGACTGACACTACATGTATCACTCCAAGGAGCTACCGGTACAGGGACGAATCGAATCATCAAGAACCAAGAAACAAGAAACAATGCCTCAGAGGTACGAGAACGTTGAATTTTCCGAAGACGGTGCGGTTGGCAACTTGAAACTGGATCGGAAAGGTTTTGCTTTCTTACCCAATGGAGGAGATGAGACAGAGGATCTGCGAGAATGCAAGTGGGACAAAATTGTGGAATACGCCGCCTGTGGCAGTAGTGCAAGTTCAACAGACCACAAGTTGCGCCTGGTTCTGCGCAAGGTATCCAAGAGCAAGGGCACCGAAAAGAAAAAAGAGATCCTTCTCGCCTTTGAGAGTCACGACGACTTGAACAAGGTCGAAAAAGACATTTGCGGCTACATGCGGCGCAACAGTATTCTGCAAGACGACTCGTTGTCGGGCAGTTTGCCGTTCCATCTGGATCGTCGATCCAGCCACAACAGCACCAGCCCGTTCGATCTGTCCTTTTCCTCGACGACATCGGCCATACCGGTATCACCATCCGCATCCAGGAGAATGAGCAACGATTTCCTACGGTCGAGCTCGTCTTTGCCGCCCGTGTCACCCTTTTCAGATACTTCGTCCCATTCGGCGGCGCTTGACGACCAACCGCTGCCGGCGGCGGAAAAAGCACGCTACCAAAGCGTGGCAGTCGGAGGAAAGGAGGGGAGTTTGGATATGTCACAAGACGGTCTTTTATTCTACAAAAAGGGCAAAACAAAAGGCAGGAACAAACCCAAACAGATTCCCTTCTCTGCAATTCAAAAGCTGCAAGTCAACACCACAGCGCCCAAGTTGAAACTTACCTTTAAAGATGAAGAGGATGCGGTTTTGTTCGCCTTTTCCGGACGAGAGGACATGGAGGAGGTGAAGAAAGAGATCGAGTCTCATATACACTTAGAATCGAAAAAGACGGATCCATTACGTCCTACTAGTATGGCGAATCCAAAGCAGAGCGACCCACCGCAACCTTCTACAAATGATGGTCAGATTCAAAAAGCAAATGAAAAAGAATCCGCAATTGCACATGGTTTGGAGAGAGGGCAAGCATGGAGGTTGCAGAGGGAAGCGTCTATTGAAGAATCGAAAGATCTACAAGAGCGAACGGAGGATATTCGAAGTCGGCCTGAAATGTGGAGCATCACCTACGAGCAGCTCCTGCAATTGGCCGAGGATGTCAAATTGAAATTTGGTAAGTTTAAATACAAACGAGCCACCATGAGAGACGTGAACCGAAAGATCCTCGAGCCACATTGTATAAAGACGGGGACATCGTATGCCCTTAGTTTGAACCCGGAAGGGCTGTTGGTGGATGCCTTTATCACTCACGCCTGGTAAGTATGGTTAGCGATAAGTAGGCCCTCTCTGTGACCATCTATCTGCTCTAATATGCTTCTTTGTTCACGCACTTACATCCAGGGATGAAAAATTCGCTGACTTCGTGGAGGTAAGAGTGTTTTCTTGGTATCAGCACAAAATATGCGCACTTTCTCACTTATTTATCCCTCTTCGTCCTCTCGGCAGTCTATTCGTCTCTGTTTCCATTCCACCCTAGTCCGGCCCACACTCTGGATATGTGCGTTCGCTTTAATGCAAGGTGATGCGCAGCTGATCGAAAAGCAACTTGGGACAGCTACTGAATCACTGGAGGATTCGCCCTTTGTCCAGGCTCTTTCCAAGGCAAAGATGTTTGTAATTGTACGCAACTCCGCCATTGACCTCTACAGCCGTATTTGGTGCATCTGTGAGCTCCTGCATGGAAAAAAGCTTGGTTTGGTGCCCGGCAAAGCATTTGTGACAGGTCCGAATGATTTCTCGGACAACACAACCAGCTGCCTTGATGCAAAGGCATCTAACCCCAAAGACCGCGACAAAATCCTACGGGTGCTACTGACGGAGTTCGATCGCGAGGAGATTGACAGCTTTGTCCACCAGTTCCGAGCATTCAAGCCGGTTGACTCGAAGACGGATGATCGGTGTAAGATGATGTAGGCCTTTCTTTGGCCCGCGCTGCCGTGGAACTATTGGATACGATGATGCGAAATGTGTTCGTTGCCTTGGGTTTTGGACTCCCAAAAGTTTCCCCCAGCTGAAAATGTCCTTGAATACTCAACAAGGGGGAAGCCATCAACTGGCTAAAAAGGTTGGAACAGTGCGTAGTATGTACAGTAGGATATCTAAGAATGTATATGTAGTTTGAGGTTTCCATTCCGTAACTGTTCACTGTACAACGTCCATACGGCAGAAGCGTAGCTGCGATTTTCATTGCAAATCATGTACTGCACATCCCTGTTGGAGTACCGTAGTTGGGCCCATACGGTATGTGGGCCCCACGAGTCAAGTCTCGGTTACTTGCAGCCGAGCGACTTATTGCGTTCCACGGGCTCCATCGGTACAAACGTTTCCTGCGTGAGTGTTAGACCCACGTAGGCACGTAGGCCAAGCACCAGGACACAATCATGATAATGCCTTCTGCATACACAGCATCCTCAATACCAGCATCTCCCATTCCGAACATGGCCAATGCCTCCTCACCGCTATTGGCAACAGGACCTGACCAATCCGAGGCGGTGGTAAAGTTCAAGCGCTCAAGCCTTGAAACTCGTTGACAACCAAGCCTCCCTGGCTAGCCCCATCGAATCAGGGAAATTTGTGGGATCCAACGAAAGAGGTATGGGGTGTTCTCGATGGATATGTGACTTGTGAGGGTTGAACATTCGATTCTAAGCTAACACTGCATGTACACACACAAACTACAGCTGAGGAACGATCAATCAGACTTCATGCCTTTACTATTGCTTGCTCCGCCCTTTTTGCCCCCAATGGATTTTCGAATGATTACTGGCAACAGCACCATTAATCCAACCACTGGAAAAAAGCCTTCTGTTGTAACCTCAAAACTTCGAATCAAGAGTTTCATGGTATCAGTATCAGCAATATGGGGGTAATCTTCCTTTGGGCAATCCTCCTCCTTGATTCCTAGAAATTCACAGAGTGGGGGATATCCATCCTTGGGATGGTGGACCAGGAGCTTTTCTGGGGGGACCTGCTCTTTGACATTTTCAATCCATTGTGTGTAGGCAGATTCCAATTTCCCCTCATAATCATGCACTGATTCCTTTGGAACATCCATCTGTCCTAATTCAGCGATGCCACCAATTCGTTCATAAACCCAAGGATCCAAAACCCCAGCAAAGTTTCTGGTGAAAGCGTAAAATGTGAATGGAGGCTTGAAGAAGGAAAGGGGGAGACGCCCAACTGTATCAAGGACAGATTTCCTCCAGTCACTTGCACTCGACCGGACAGTCAAAATAACTTTGCCATCTGTGAGCTCCAGGAACTCTGGGTAGAGCAAGCAGCAAGGAGCATCAGTGGTGGCCATGAACCCTTGATCAATCACAGATTGTGCTGTCATGAGGGCCAATGTTTTGTTCTTTGTGCCAGTTTCTCGTTCATTTAAAGCCAGCTCAATCCAGGGATCCATTGGAACTTGGTGTTCTAAGAGTTCACGCATGTGATATGGCTTGTTGTAACCAAGGGCCAGCAATGCTGCTTGTAGGGAATGAGTTCCAGTGCGACAAAGTCCAGCACCAATCACAAATGGAAGATCTTTGGATGCATCGCTTGAAACACTGCTGCCAAACTGACCATTGCCATTTGCTTGCTCCCACCAAGATGGGGCAAGCAAGAACTTCACCACAGAGCCGATCAATCTGTCCATAGTAAAGAACAAGTTGCTCGAACGAATGCCAATCTAGAAGAGAGCGAATGTTTTTTCGCTCTGTATCAGCGGTGTTTTCGTGTTTTCTGGGTTGATGGTTTGCTCGGTCTTGATTTGGCCGGATGCCTTGACCCTTCTTGTGATGCCGTTCGAAGCTTTGCTCTGTTCTCTACGGCTGTACGATACTCGATACCGGTACGGCAACGACCCTTTGAAGAAGATGCAAGCTACTTTAGTGTATTTGACGTACGTGTCACTGAATTGGACTGTGCCTCTTACCGAAACAAAGATCTCGTCAAAGTGTAACCCAACAAGAACGCGACATAATTTCCAAATATAAAGAAGTGTGCAACTCCAATCGCGCTTCCTTCCATCCCTCTGTTGTTTCTGTGGATGGCATGCTTGCCCCCCAAGCCAAGATTCTCTTACAACGGCTTGCTTCTGCTACTGCCTCCAAAACTCAGTTTTCCTACTCTCAAATGATGTTTTTCATGCAGACCCGTATCTCAATTGCCCTTGTGAAAGCTACCCATTTATGTCTCCGTGGATCTCGCAAAGCCAAACCATTTGGCCCCCGTACTGGTCCTCACTTTCTTGCCCCTGATACCACAGAACCTAGTCCTGAATTTCGACTGTTCTTTGCTTAAGCCTGGCCCCGGCTGGCTTCCGTAGATAATTTCCCTCCTCTAATCCCCCCCATACTTTAGTGTATTTTAATAGTTCGCACCAAGTTATAAAGACAAAAAGGTGTTACAGTAATTAAATAGGAGAAGTTTTTTGACAGCTAAACAGGCTTGGATTTGGGCTTTCTATCAAGGCGTGCTCTAGCTCTGCAAGGTCCCGAAACGGGACTTAAAAGGTTAGTTTCAGGCTTTTGAGCTAGTTTCACCGTTTTGAGTTAGTTTCACGGAAACGCTAGTTTCACCCTTTTGAGTTAGTTTCACGCTTTTTAAGTTAGTTTCACCGTTTTGAGTTAGTTTCACCGTTTTGAGTTAGCTTCACGCTTTTTCGTTAGTTTCACGCTTTTAGTCGTGTTTACATTGATTTACTATGATAAAATGGTACTTAGTTTCACCATTTCTAAGTTAGTTTCACGCTTTTGAGTTAGTTTCACGGTTTTCGAGATAGTTTCACCGTTTTTGAATTAGTTTCACGCTTTTGAGTTAGTTTCACAGAAATCCAATTCCGTGAAAACGGTGAAACTAAGAAAACTGTGAAACTAACATCAGTTTCACCAAAAGAGTCCCGTTTCGTGACCTTGCAGGTTTGCCACGGCCACGACCATGGCACGGGAGAAGGGAGTGGTGCAAGAATAACCAACCACTACCCTGTCGCCCACCACTGGATTTTCCCCACCACTGGACTCTGCAATAACATCTGGATTCATGAGTATGAGTCCCAAACCAGTCAAAGTCCAGTGGTCAAGTTAATGAATAACAGGATACCACTGACTAAACCAATAAATTCATGACTGTCCTTTCAGATAAGCACAATAGAAGCACAGAATAACCATTGGAGAGCAAAATCCAGTGGTCGGGTACATAGACCAGGATGCCATTCTTTTGGTGGGCTGCATTGGGACCAGACTCGGGATTAGGGTGAATCGAATCTGACAGTTCACGTCCTGAAAACCCCGACCAGGCACGAAGCACCGAGCATGAACTTTCTGACCATTCGGGATCTCGACACGAGGCAGGACGGGGAGGCGAGTTAGGCTTTTCAGGCGTGGAAGAATGGCTCCTTGACCTCGACGAGAATGCCGGTGAGAGAGGTTGGGCATGACTCCAGTGAAGACGGCAGAAGTGTTGAAACCACCATTTTCGTCCTTGGTGAGCAAGAGGGTTCCGCTGTCTTCAGGTTCTCCTTGGTCTAGAAAAAATTGCAGGCGTCCTCCGTGATGCTCATTTGTCTCGGAAACGTCACTTCCGTAGCGACTCGCAACGACGCTTCCGAGAGCTCGACCAACCAGACGGGAGTTCCGCTGTTGCTTCGGCTCTTGTGGCGAGACTTGCGTCCATTTTGGCACAACTGCTCTTGGAGGTGGCGTCGATTGGACGTGATGACAATGAGGTCCTCGTGGATTGGGAGCTAGTTTGTAAAATCCGGGGCGTAGGGGTCAGCCAAATAGACACCAGTGACACCCATACGGGTGATTTGATGTGGTAGTTCCAAGAAGACAACGTTTGCCGTTGGCAAGGAAAAGGTGATGGCGCAATGAGCGGCCCCAGCTATACGCGCCCTTCCACTGTAATCCAACCATGTGAAGATTGCTTGTTTTTTGGAGAGGTCAGTAAGATGATATGTACGAGCCCCAATTTCTCCAACGCGAAAAAACCCATCGTTTGATTCTGGTTGTATTCAAGGTTGTCTATTCGCCGGTTCACTTGATCGAATATATCTTCCACTTGTTTGAACCCGTCTTTCAGTGCCTTCAACACATCCGCGTTGGAAGGATTGGCATTGGCTTGTATTTCAGACAGCGGAACTCGGTGTTGTGTTGACATGTTTCCTCTTCGTATCAATAGGACCAACGGCACTGCTGGGAGAAGGGGAGAGATGGGATTGCGTACGGCGGCTCCATTCAGTCACTCGCACTCGATTTCCACGCTCGGGAAGATGAAGGTGACCGCGTGAATTAGCGTATTTCATGCCAGCAAAGGTGCGAGCTGACTGGGCAGCTCGAGTACGGTACCAGGTACCGTACGGTACCGCACCAGGAGGCAGCTTATGAGCACATCAAAACATTACCCGTGTCGAGCCAGCTGGGTGGCGACTAGCTGCCAACGCCCAGACTGATCTCAAATTATAGACCGGATTGCTTGGGTGGTTGCTGGAAGACACGTCCAGTAACGTTTTCATCTCATTACTTGCTGCAAATTGAAGGATGAACAACATTATCTATTGATTAATAAACTGTCAATCCTCTTTCTCTGTTTGTTGAGAGACCAAAGTCAGGGACCATTCAGCCAGCGATCCCTCGAACTCTTGGAGGACAAAGCGTAGAGGTGTCCTGGATCCCGGCAGAGTTGTTTCTCGTCGATATGGCTAAGTTCTGCCTCACATTGTTGGGCGCTCTTGACGATATGATAGGAGTCTTCCAGGCTATGCCAAAGCATCATGCGAGGTTCCGAAGTTGCCTGCTGATAGACCTCACAAATGTCAGTCACTCCATCGGGCAATCCGGGTGATCGATAGGAATGAACCAGAGTGATGTTACTTTCTTCGTAAACATAGGTGAACCGAGGATAGAATCCATATTTGCCCTTGTGTATGGATTTGGAACCCAGAAATAAATGTTCGGGAAGCCGTGTGAATGGTGGGGCACCTGGCTCTTGGAGTAAGTGCGCCAGAGGGCGTTGGTCGTCTTGTTGGTACTGGAAGAATGTTTTCCATGACTTCATGAATTGATACCATCGTTTAACAAATGGAATGGATTCTGGAGTGTAGGCAATGGCATAGTTGTGCGGAAGCAGATTGTATTTCATGTGTTTCTCCAGAAAGGCAAATGAGGACATTTTCCAGTGAGGTGCATTCTCCACATTGGTTCCGATGAAAAAGGAAGGATTGCTGTATAGTTCTTCCAACCTTTCGTAGAGGTTACTGGAACAAACCGTAACATGCGAGTCCAGCGAAAGCACCATATCACAGGAAGGTGCCCATTCAAAGACAGTACTAATATAGTAGAGTCGAGTGGAAAACTCCTTGATTCCAAAGATGCCGAGGAATCGCTGGAAGGAAAACTTTGGCCTTGATATAATTTGAAGAATGTCAATAGCCGCTGGTGATTCGTCCTGGAGAGAAGGATTGTCCGTCACCATTATGGTTGTCATTTTCGGGTTCAATGTCTTGAGCCGCTGCATCTGTTGCACTGCCTCATTTTCGTAGCGAGGGACATGACCATACACGAAAAACAGAGCGCAAAAGTTGGCACCCTCTTTTGTCGTGTTACTCCGTTTCTCTTTTAGTCGTTGATGTTCACGAGGAGAAAACTGGAAGCCCTTTGACTTTGGACGAGAGAGGTGATGTTCAGTGGGAACAAACAAATGTTGGGTCCAGACGAAGAGCGACAGAATGGTCAGCAGGAAGATACTGGAATGACACCATTTTGCTCTGAAGATCTTTCGGGGGCTTGGTGGAGCGGAAACAGGTAACATTCCAGTGATATGGCAATACAGGTCGATGATATACACGTAGAGGTACCTGGTACTAGTACTGGCTAGCTAGCTAGACTTGTGGTAATGATCAAAAGTCAACAAGCAGTGTGAACGCGCCATTGTGAGTTGTGAGGGAAAATACGGCTCACAGAAACGGACGGACGTTACCAACGGGGTCTGCGTTACCTACCGGCAGCCAGCAAAAGCTGTGAAAAACTGACCTTGCCGTGGATCCAAACATTATCCGCGACGGCGACGCCTCTTCTGTTTACCTCGGTCCGGGAAACTGGGCTAGCTTACGGGCAGTTGCTCGACTGCGGAACCAAAACTCTTACATAGTCCGCAGAGATTACTTACCGATCCCTTGCAAGGGTGCCACACAGCTGGCCCAGCTAGCTAGCTAGCTAGAGGACTCGACTCAATGTTTCGGGTATCTACGATCACCGCAGGCTCGCTCTCTTCAGTGGCCATGTCTCCACCGAAATTTTCAGTCGGAAAGATGGATGATGTGCTTGCTGTGGTTGGTGGTGGTTGTGCACGTCGGATCACAACTACCTGGCTTGCTTCCAGTTTGGTTGGAGTAGGCCAAGATAGGCGTGCACACCACGAATGCCACTGGCTGTGCACACCAGCACCACAACCACTGCAACTTGCAACTGTGCACAACTCGCTCAAATAGAAATCCTTTACGTACGGTGCCTCCAGCAGCTCCTCCAGCTATTCACGCACCTCCAATTTTTCAGGACGTAGCGCCTAGGTTTTTCTAGTACAGGTCACGGAAAAAGAGGATCTTCAAAACATCAAGTAGTCTATTTGAAGGAGGCGAGCTGCTACTAGTACTACCGGTACCGTAAGCTTTCATAGTAGACAAGCAAATACCACGCACCAAGCTGCAAGGCATCCGATCCTTCAAACGTTCCTGCACTTGAATGTAGGTACGGTAGAAAACGAACAGAAATCTTTGCATCTCTGTAGCAAAAAACGAGTTTCTGTGGTTGGCCACGAGGCCCCTTTTCTGATTTCTCTGTCTGGGAACGTTCATAGCGTCGAAGACTATGGCCAATGTATCTATACGTGTCATCATCCCAGACTGGCGGGTTGTAATGGTACTACCGCATCTAGCTATAGTATGTGCAGTGGTACCGGTACAGTCGTATGGTACATGGTACTGGTACCGTCCCTGGAGGGTGGCTCAGTGAGTGATCCAAGATTCCCGACTGAAAGTGACTGAAAACTGCCCAGACGTGTGTTACAGTTCTCGAACTGCTCCAGAAAACGGTGTCAACGTGCACAGCAACAGCTCCCGACTGGGAGGGAACCAGATGCTCGTGGAGTGTGTCTTCTATTGGAGTAGCTTCTAATCTATCACACTCCTCAATTCTTCGTCAGACAAGTCTCATCTTTGTTGGCTGTTGTGCACTCGTAGCAACAGCTCCAGCTACCAGTAGTAGCGATCCGGCAAACTGGAAAGCGAAGACTTCTCCTCAGTCTCCGTGCAAGTGGCTTATTTTCACCTTTTCATCTGATCACAAAAATTGCATGAGCAACATCAAAATCACCAAACCACCCGAAGCAAGACAAACGCCCCTGTTGATCCTTATTTTCCTTTTGATGACCACAACAATCCCAACAGCAACACCATTTCACAACTCATTCTACAGACAAATCATCAACAGACAAACAACAAGCAACATCAACATGAGCGGCAACAAGAACACTCCCACAGCCCAACCCAAACTCAACGGCACAACCGCCGCCGCCCATCCCAGCGCTCCCAAGAACGGATCCGCCCCAGCCAACGGCAAGATCGTCCCTCGTGTCGACTCTGTCGTCCCCGTGGCATCCACCAAATGGTTGGCCTTGGAGACATACCATTACACCGACGAAGATGGCAAACAACGACAATGGGACGTTGCCACACGAACCACCAAACCCAAGATTGACAATAGCAATGGAGTCTCCAACACAACACCCGGCAATACGCGTTCCACAGCCGACGCTGTCGTCATTATTCCCTTGCTGTCATCCAAATCCAATCCCAAGAATAAATTGGAAACACTCTTGGTGACACAATTCCGTCCTCCTGTCAATGGCTACACGATGGAATTCCCCGCTGGATTGGTCGATGCCGGGGAAACGGTCGAAGCCGCAGCTTTGCGAGAATTGCGAGAGGAGACTGGATTTGTCGGAGAATTTTGTAGTGCCGTTCCGGATGTTTCGAGAGCCGTCTGTATGAGCCCTGGATTGGCCACGGAAACGGTCCACGTCGTTTTGGTGCAAGTCGATTTGGACAATCCTTACAATCACGGAACTCCAAAGCCCGAATTGGACGATGGCGAACACGTCACATTGCATCGGGTTCCATTGGACGAAGGACTCAAAACATTGGTCGACACGTGTCCGGCCATGCCCATTATGGGACTTTATCTGTTTGCCGTGGGATTTCAATTGGGGAAACAACAACAAGCAGCCGAAAGCAAGTGAAGCAAAACGAATTTGAAGGGCAAAACGCACAAACAACAACAGTGGACGAAACCGCGTCGGGAAAAGAAACAACCAAATAAACTCAACGCGACAACAAAAGGTAGAGGGCATTGGACGAGAGGAGGCAAAGCAAAAAATCAAAGAAATGAAGGTGAAGCGACAGGCCCAAAGAAAAACGACAAAACGAAGCGGGACGCGCTCACAGCGATGATATGGATGATTTGGGAGTATTCATAATGCTTATTCTATTCTGTATTACGTGGTGTAGCAGTTCATGTCGATGGATCAAACTAAAGTAAGAACGAAATATAAACACTGAAACTGGCTGTCGTTGCGCATTCCACGGGCAAGCAATCGTAGAGACAGGCAATGACGACGTCGAGATTGCTCATAGACAAGTGGCGTGCCACCGGTTTCCGAAAGAAGACTTCAAACAAGCAAACGACACGACACTCGTTTCCTCGCTGTGTCTTTCGAATCGGCTACCTTCCGTGTTGCCAGTTCGGTGTCGCGTGTGATCTTTCCTGGACCGTCCGACGGTTTTCACTCAGGATTTTTTAAAAAAACTTGAAATTCCCACGACTGTGGACCGTTTAAAACATGCCCTTAACATGCCCTTAAATCTTCAACATGCCCTTAAACTTGCCCTTAAATAAACATACCCTTAAAACATGCCCTTAAATCGGCAACATGCCCTTAAACATGCCCTTAATAAACATGCCCTTAAAACATGCCCTTAATTGAACCAGTCGTGGTCCGTGGGCAAAGTTTTTTTTAAACCTGAGTGAAACCGTTGGACGGTCCAGGGAAATCGTGGATCGCTTGGACAATTAATTGACATTGAGAATTGTGAGGAATTGAAATTAAAAAAACAAATTGTGAGGAATCAGCAAAACTGAAATTGTGAGGAATCTGCAAAACTGAAATTGTGAGGATTGGGAAAAATTGAAATTGTGAGGAATCTGCAAAAATTGAATTGTGAGAATTGGCAAAAATTTTGAATTGTGAGAAAACGGATATTAAAAAATTATAGATTGTGAAAGAAAACCAAAAATTTGAATTGTAGAAAAATCAAATTGAATTACAATTTGAGAAATCAATAAAAATAATTGTGAGGAATCGAAATTGAAAATTAGGAATTGTGAGAAATCTGGAAAATTGGAATTGTGAGAAATCGAAACTCAAAATTGAAATTGTGAGGAATCAGGAAAAATAGAATTGTGAGGAATTCCGGAAAAATTGAAATTTGAGAAATCTAAATTTGAAATTGTGAGAAATTGAACTCAAAATTGAATTGTGAGAAATCGAAAAAAATAAATTTGTGAGGAATCGGAAAAATTAATTGTGAGAAAATTAAAATTGAATGTGAGAATACGCAATTTTTTTGAAATTGGTTAGGAAATCATTGGAAATTGGAATATGTGAGAAAACCAAAATCAAAAATTTGAATTGTGAGAAATCAAAACTTTTGAATTGCGAGGAACGCGTTAAAGTTTTAATTGTGAGGAATCAAAAATTGTAAAATTGAAATTAGTGAGGAATCAAAAATAGAATTGTGAGAAATCGAATAATAAAAAATTTGAATTGTGAGAAATACAAAATCGAAAAATGAATGTGGTGGAATTGCCAAAACTTGAAATTGTGAGAAAAACTGAAAATCGATATTTGAATTGTGAGGATGAAAATCTAG